GACGTCGCTGAAAAGGGTGCATAGACAGTACCTTTTCCTTTTAGATCAACTTTTGGTGGAATTCCTGCAATCAATTGAACAGCAACATTGTCGGTGACATTATAAGTAAACATCATACCTAACGTGTCTACATCCTCAACTTCCAAACCAGCATCCGCTGACCAGTTGGCAATCCCATTGATTTCAGCAATTCCTGTTAATTGGTCGATTAAGGTTGGGTCTTCTGCCATGATTACATCCAGCAGATCATCAAATAAATATCGTCCTTCTTCATTACTTGGTGCATTGAGCAAGCTAATTAGGTTGGGATCCATCGCATCAATACGCGATTGATCGAGATTATCTATAATCGTTTGGCCTGAAATTACGCCCACAGCCGCTTTGGTACCATTACCCACAGAGGTGTTAATCCTAAAAGGTTGTGCTTTCCCCATTGATGACATATGTAACCAACCTGAAGAAACCGAGAAGCGTTTAAAATCTTCAGCTTGGCTTATTCCCGCTATACAAAAGAGTGAGGTTGTAACGATGGCTTTTTGAAAGATCTTTTTTGTTTTCACTTGAATTCATCCTTTTTAAATACAATCACTGTCTTCTTGACAATGAGATTATTAAAATTACATAAAACAACCAATAAGTAGAGTAAAAACTCTAATTTAAAAATAGTATTAAGACTTAAAAGTTAATAATTAATGATTGAAAAGTAATATAAAAAACATAAAATCATAGAGTTGTTTGAAAATAATGTATTTTTAAGTATATTTTTCATATAAATAAAGTATTACAAAATAGTGACATAGTTTTACTTTTTGATAAATTTACTTTACTTTTGATTATATTAAAAAAATTACAGCATAGATTAGTAAATCTAAATTTAATTATTATTCATATAATATTTTGGTGAATTATCGATATAAGTTGTATTATTTTTCCATCTATAAAATACAACTTATAAAGAAATTAACTATTATAAAATAGCGAATAAAGCATAAAATGATCAGTTAATGCCTATTGATTTGCATTTATTTAAAATCCAATACATGTGATTATGATTTGAATCGCCAAAATAATAAGACAGATTATTCCAACAGCATAAGAAATACTGCGCCATGGTTGCATTGCACTGAGATAGGTGATTGTATGTGTGATTCTTGCAATCGTAAAAATACAAAAGATCCAGACAATAAAATCACTATTTAGGTTTAATGCAATACAAAGCCCTCCAAACACCCAAAACACGGGAATACTTTCTAAATCATTTGCCCAAGCTTGGCTGGCTCTGGTTACTTGTGGCAGCTCTTCGGGTCGGGCTTGGACACTGACAAAATTAGCATCTTCGGCATTTTTAAACGCTTTATTCTTTATACGATAAAATCCTTGATAACAAGAGATTACAAGCATTTTAAAAAAAAGCAAAACCACACAAAATGCATAGATATGTAGTAGATTATTCATAGATCCCCATTTATTTTATATGCTTTAGATGTATTTAATTAAGTGTATCTATTTAAAGTGATTTTTAAACTTTGTCGAGAGAAATTTTTAGAAGCAGTTTTAATGCTTGATGGCTCTGATTTATTTTTTGGTGAGAATGACTGAAATAGAATCGAATGATTAGAAACTTAACCACAATTGAAAATTAATCGAGTGCTTTTAACGATGATCTAAGGTTTGAGTCAGTGAGAGCTGTTGCTGAATGTGTTGCGGTATACGATGATCTAGTCAGATTTGTGGCTATTGAGTGGGAATAGTATGCAGTGTTACTTTTTTCGTTTTTCTAAATAAATTTCAAATATGCTCCATGTGCAAATCAAAACAAAGACTAAGGCACTTACGCCAAATAGAGGCATCAACATATTGCAATCCTTTTGCAGGTAAAATTTTGAGCTTATGGCGCAATCAAGACTAAAGTCTAAATGATTTTGACAAGATAAAAATATTGATTTGAGTCTTATTATTGAGATTATGATTTATATGGATGTTTTTTATGAAAAATTTATATTTTTGTTCTAGAGGAAGTTAGATGATATTGGTGCGTTTAACGGTTTTCTATTTTAAGCATACATTTTGGTGTAGCAAAACAAGTGTTTAAAATGACAAAAATAAATATACAAATGTAAAAAATAAGCACAATAGAGATTGTCTTTTTAAGCTTTTACTCGGACAATTCGCAAATTATGATTTTATGATGTCAGGTATTTATGAAAAAGATGTTGGGAGAACTTACTTTTAAGCTCTCAGGTTGGTCATATGAAGTTGATCAAAGTGTATTAGAAAAAAAACAAGTCATCATCGGTTTTGAACATACATCCATGATGGATGCTGTGTTGTCATTGGCAATTTTTCAAATTCATGACATTAAAATCCATACTTTAATTAAAAAAGAATTATTTAAAGGTCCTTTAAAACCGATTTTAGAAAAAATTGGTGGTATTCCTGTAGACCGTAAGTCAAACAAAGATATCGTTTCACAAATGGTTGATCTGTTTCAGAGTAATGAAGAATTTAATTTGGTGATTGCGCCAGAAGCGACTCGCGCAGAACGTGGGCAAGCACGTAAACCGATCCGTACTGGTTTTTGGCATATCGCAAAAGCAGCTGGTGTTCCTATTGTTTTAATGTATGCAAACTCAAAAACAAAACAGGGTGGGATCTTTGGAAAAATTTACCCAACAGATCTAGATCAAGACTTAGCAGAAATTAAACGTCTATATAAACAACATACAGGGCTCGATATTGTGATTCCTGAAGCAAAAAATTCTTAATTTGCATTAAATCTAAAAAATAAGCACTTTCTCATAAAAAAGTGCTTATGGTAGAATTGTCGCAATTTGATATGGCATAAAGCCAATCTACAGGAGCATATTTCGCATGGCGGGTCATTCCAAGTGGGCCAATATTAAGCATCGTAAAGCAAAACAAGATGCAAGTCGTGGTAAAGTCTTTACCAAATATATCCGTGAATTAACCACAGCAGCAAGACTTGGCGGTCCTGATGTGGGAAGTAACCCTCGTCTACGTGCTGTTGTCGAAAAAGCACTTTCAGTGAATATGACACGTGACACGATCAACCGTGCTATCCAACGTGGTGCTGGTGGTGAAGACAACGATGATTTAAAAGAAGTCACTTATGAAGGTTATGGTGTGGGTGGTGTTGCGGTTATCGTAGAAACCATGACAGATAACCTTAATCGTACTGTGCCTGATGTACGTCATTGTTTTTCTAAAACCAATGGTAACTTAGGTACTGCGGGTTCAGTGGCATACATGTTTACCAAACGTGGTGAGATTACTTTTGAAGATGTTTCTTTGGAAGATAAAATCATGGACGTGGCTTTGGAAGCTGGTGCTGAAGATATCGAAGTGAACGAAGATGAAATCTTAGTAATCACTACACCAGAAAGTTTTGGTGATGTACAAGATGCTTTGACTGCTGCTGGTTTAAAATCTGATAATGCAGAAGTGGTCATGAGCCCATCAACAAAAGCATTGATTGCTGATGTGGATCAAGCAAAACTCATTGTGAAAATGATTGATATGTTTGAAGATCTTGATGATGTTCAAAACGTATATACCAATGTTGAATTCACAGATGAAGTATTGGCTGAATTAGACAGTTAAGTCTGATTTGAGTTGATAAAACGCACCTTTGGGTGCGTTTTTTATTGAGAGAATTTATTGCTGGTTTAAAACAGCGGAAATAAATTTATTTTTTTCAATCCGATAATCGATCATATCTAAATTTTCACAACGCTTTTTTAGATTATTGTACGTTTGCACCAGTTCAGGCGATTGCCTGAGTCGATCTCTAAACTTAATAAATGACTCAAATTCAGAACCTTTGACAACCAGTTGAAAGGCGACATCATCACCATTGAGCGATTCCAACATACACAGTTGATCCGTTCTCAGTGTTGCTAATTTTTCTTGAAAATTTAAGCCATAAAGTTTTTGAATTGCATCATTAAATTCAGATTGATCCACTGCAATATAAATGTCTAAATCTCCTTTAGAGATTGCATTTGGAATCGAAGAGGCGCCAATGTGCTCAATCTCTGCATTGGTTAAAAGTGCTTTGATTTGAGTTTGATAATACGCAAACCGTGCATGACATAGTGGTTGATATTCTTCGGCTAAATAAAATCTCATAAAAAGATCCATTCAAATACAATGTGATATCTTTGATTTTTAAATTCTACTTATTTAAAACATCATAAAACCAATGTTTAAGACCAATGAGAGTAGCTTTGCTTCGTAAACTTTTAAGTCCATTCTATTCATCGTGTGGAAACTAAACGGACTCAATACATAATTTAAATTCGATTGAGTAGGCCAGTACAATTAAACACGCGTTTATATTCTTTAATCACAAAGCTTGAATGTAGTGCAACCACGTGCTCAATTTTACCAATACGTTTGAGTAAAATTTCACTGTAATTCTCCATATCTTTTGCGATAACTTCGACAAGGAAATCAGCAGTTTGCCCAGTCACTAAAAAGGCGTTAATCACTTCAGGGATGTTTTCGAGTTCTTCTAAAAATTTAGCAAATGTATCAGTATCATGTTTACTTAGGGAAATTTGTAAAATGACATGTAATTTAAAGCCTAATTTTTCAAAATTAATATCACGCTTTAGATTGGTCATGATATCGGTTTCGATCAAGTGTTTGATACGACGATGGACAGAACTTACCGACAGGTTAATACGTTCTGACAATTCATTTAGATTGATGTCTTCATGGGTTAAAATTTCTAAAATTTGTTTGTCGTAACGATCCAGTTCCATATTTTTATCCAGCTTGAAAAAATTTTCTGTATTAATGTAGATTGATTTTTATAGTTTTTCAATATTTGAATCATTTTTGAGAATAAATATCATAAAATGCTAGGTTATGGAAAATGAAACAGTTTAAATCTGATTGTATACTGTGTTGAACCATATCATGATGATTTTGCAAATGACCTGTTGAAAACATTGAGCGAATTGCTAAAACTTAAGCCAAAGGATTAAAGATTATTTTTAGTTATTGCTCCTCTATAAAATTTTTACTTTATACTGATTAAAATTGAAAAGTTTATCCACCAATGCTTGAACACGATCTAGAACTTACCGAATCTGAAATGCATCTCTATTCCCGTCAAATTCTGCTGGATGGTTGGGATATTGAGGCACAGGAAAAATTAAAACTCGCCAATGTGCTGATTATTGGTTGCGGTGGAATAGGGTGTACCACTGCCGAATTGTTGGCGCGTGCAGGTGTTGGAAAAATTAGTCTGATCGATGCTGATACTGTAGAAATCAGTAATTTACAAAGACAAATTGCCTATATTGCGCAAGATGTCGGGTTTTATAAATCGGAGATCTTGGCCAAGAGATTGCAAACAATTAATCCTTTTATCCAAGTGGAAAGCTATACCAGTAAATTGGATGAAAATAATGCGCAGGCATTGATTGCTCAGCAAGATTTAGTCTTAGATGGTTGCGATAATTTTACCACCCGTTATCTGGTGAACCACATCTGTACCCAGCTGCATATCCCGCTGATTAGTGCGTCTGCGATTGGTTTCCAAGGTCAGCTTTTTATGGTTGAAGGTGACTCAGCTTGTTATGAATGCTTATTTCCCAAAGCGCAACGACATAATGAAAGTCTACGTTGTGCTGATTCAGGTGTATTGGCCACCACACCCAATGTCATGGCAAGTTTACAGGCACATCATGCACTTCTATATTTAGGTTTAGCAAAAACCCCATTGAAACAAAAACTGATGCTTTGGGATGGATTAACAATGAAACAACGAATTTTAGCCTTTGAAAAAGATAGAGATTGTACAAACTGTCAGGCAAGCCATACTGCAAATGCTGATTAATTTGCTACACTTATACAAATTCAATTTAATGTTGACATTATGAAAAATAATATCTTTTTAGATGGTCTGCGTTCAGTTGCCCGAGTTGGGGAAACTGCCGTTATCGCAGCCAAAGCTGGCATTAAATACGCCACTGAAAAACCAAGTAATGCCAAACTGATGCGTGAAACTTTTGAATCATTAGGCTCAACTTATATTAAATTGGGTCAATTTATTGCCAGTACACCATCTTTATTTCCTCGTGAATATGTTGAAGAGTTTCAAGGCTGTTTAGATCAAACGCCTTATTTACCTTTTAGCTATGTTCAAGACGTGTTGGAACAAGAATTTGCTGGACGTAATTTAAGTGAAATCTTTGCATCCATCGATGAAAAGCCTCTTGCTTCAGCATCCATTGCTCAGGTTCATGCGGCCAAATTGGTGACCGGTGAAGATGTTGTAATTAAAGTGCAAAAACCAGGTGTAGAAACTATTCTTTATACCGATTTAAATGTATTGCATTGGGCAACAAAGGTGTTGGAAAAAGCAATTCCAAAAGTAAAATTCGCTTCATTAGCCGATATTGTTGATGAAATTAAAACACGGATGGTACGTGAAGTTGATTTTATTGAAGAAGCACAAAATTTAGATGATTTTGTGAATTATCTCAATGTGTCGCAAAACACCGCAGCAACAGCACCAAAGGTCTATCATCAATTTTCAACACGTCGTGTACTTACCATGCAACGCTTGTATGGCGTGCCACTGACTGATTTTGATGTGGTGAGAAAGGTCGCGAAAGATCCATCTCAAGTGCTGATTACCGCCATGAATACTTGGTTTGGTAGTTTGATGTTATGCCAGTCTTTCCATGCTGATTTGCATGCAGGTAATCTGATGTTGCTTGAAGATGGCCGTATTGGTTTTATTGATTTTGGTATCGTTGGACAGTTAAAACCTGAAGTTTGGCAAGCATGTATGGCATTTATGGATGCTTTGCAAAAGACTGATTACAAGTTGATGGCTGAAAATATGTTGGGTATGGGCATGACCAGTACTCAAGTCGACACTCAGGTTTTGGCAGAAGATTTAGAACGTTTATTTAGTGGGGTACTGCTTGCGGATCCACAAAAAATTATGACGTCAAACCCATCTGATTTAAATGACATCATGATGGACATGGTGGGTGTAGGCGAGCGTCATGGTATTCGTTTCCCACGTGACTTCGCCTTATTATTTAAGCAAATGCTCTATTTTGATCGTTTTATGCGTGTTCTTGCGCCATATACCGATATTTATGCTGACCAACGTTTACAGATGGTGCAAAATATTGATCCTGTGTCGCTGTTAAAACATTGATATAGATGTTTTCCCTTTGTGAAAAACTGGCTAGGTCTGATTGTATAATCTTACTTGGCCCTTTTTTAAAAGGGCATTTTTTATTTAAATTGAGAATTTATAAACGTCATGGATGCAATTATCATTGAAGGGTTGAAAGTTGAGACGGTGATTGGCTGCTTCAATTGGGAACGGCAAATTATCCAACCTTTAATGTTGGATCTCCACATTCAAACCAGTTTAGAACAAGCGTCTAACTCAGATGAATTGGTCGATACGTTGAACTATGCAGAAATTTGTGAAATTTCTGCCAAAGTGATTCAAGATGCTGCGCCAAAATTGATCGAACATGCGGCCAAATTGGTGTTGAATACGCTTTTCTCTACCTTTCCACCTATTGAATCGATTATGATTACGATCCGTAAGCCTGCCATTATCCCGCAAGCAAATTCTGTAGGAATTCGTCTTGAACGACACCGAAATGATATTCGCCCTAGCTCTAGCGAGTAATCGCGATCCACAACAAAATTTTCAAAAAGCATTTGCTCAGATTGCCCATTTGGGAATGGTGTCATTTTCTCCAATCTATTTGATTCCATGCCGTGATGGAATTGGTGCAGATTATTGGAATGCTGCATGTTTGGTTCAAAGTCAGCTGTCTGTAGATGAAATGCTGTCTTTATTAAAAAAGATGGAAGCAGACTCAGGTCGTGTACGCCCATCACATCAAATTTCCTTGGATATTGATCTCATTGCATGGGGATCTCATTTAACTGCAATGCAATTTAATCCAAAGAAACTACCATTGGCGTTGGATGTTAAAGTGCCGATGTCTGATCTTTGGGAAGATGCATTATTCAAACATTCCGCAGATCAATTTCCAGTTATCATTTTATAGTCTTTAAAATAAATAGGTTAAAAAACAATGTATTTTAAGCCCTTGGCATTATTCAGTTGTGTGCTTTTATTTAGTGCATGTGGCCATTTACCTGAACAATCTGTTACACCAGTACAAGCTGTAAGTGAAGTGCAAAGCTTACAACAGCGGGATAACAATCTTAAGCAAAAAGTGAATGCTTATACACAAGATCAAGCTTTATTTGATGTGGCATTTGATGATCTCAATCAAGATGGGCAAGATGAAGCCATCGTGCTTTTAAAAGGGCAAGATTGGTGTGGGTCTGGTGGTTGTACAATGCTGATCTTTCAAGGAAAATCTAATCACCAGTTTGACTTTTTAAGTAAAACAACCTTGGTGGATACACCAGTTTACTCTACAACATATATGCATAATGGTTGGAAGCAAGTGCTGGTTTATAGCCGAAAGCATGGTCAAGTGATGTTGAAATTTGATGGAACTCAATATCCGCTCAATCCATCTTTATTGCCTGTCGCAACTGCAAAATTGGCACCGAATACAGCTAAATTACTTTTGGGCGTTGCTGAGTAATTTTTTATTTTTAACCTACATCTCTACATCAAAATGTGGGTTAAGCAGACCTTATTAAAATACTAAAAAAACAAGCCCAGCAAGTGGGCTTGTAAATCAGTTAAATCAGACTGTTAGATAAATTAGATAAAATAACTGGTCTTGGTCATCAGTTTAGAAATAGCAGTCATGGTGATCTTCACTGGAATAGGCAGCTCTACACCACCAGCAGTTAATGCTGTATCACGATGATGCAGTTCATCTTCATTCATCTGCACCAATATTTTACGTGAGCGCTCGTCTTGAGCTGGAAGCTGACTGATATGGTGTTGTAAATGTAAGCTGACTTGGCGTTCAGTTTCAGCCACAAAACCTAAACTGTATTTATCACCTGCAATGCCAGCAAGCGCACCCATACCAAAAGAAAGACCGTACCATACAGGATTCAGCAAACTGGTATGACTGTCGAGCTCTTTTAAACGATCTTCACACCAAGCCAAATGATCTTGTTCTTCAATTGCTGCAAATTCCATTTCACGACGTACATTTGGAAGTTTGGCTGTTAATGCTTGCCCATGATAAAGCGCTTGAGCACAGACTTCACCACTATGGTTAACGCGCATTAAGCCTGCAACATGACGTGCTTCACTGACAGCCAGCTTAGTTTCTACTGCATTGGACGGATTGCTTCTTTGTGCCGAAGTTGCACCAGGTACTAAACTTCTTAAAGCTTGGTCAAATGAATTGATCAATTTATCGATGCCAGTATATTGACGCATATTAGTCCTCCAAAGAAACCTGAGTTGTCGCTATTAATGGTTTTAAACGAATTAATAACCAAGTACTAAAAATAGCACTCAGCACAGCTGTGATACAGAATAAGATTTTAATATCTATTTTCAAAATACTTAAGATGAGAATAGAAAAAATTGCCGATGAAACCATGAATATTGCATTAAAAATATTGTTTGCCGCAACCACACGTGCACGGTGAGATTTTGGGGCATAGGCTTGCATCATGGCATAAAGTGGAACGATATAAAAACCTCCACTTATGCCCAATAAGGTGACTGCAAGCATGACATGATAATAAATTGCCCCTGAATTAAACATATCAGAAATCGCAATCAGATCACCGGTACGTTCTGGAACAAAAGCCAAACTAGCTGCTAAATAGAGTGCAAATAGCGTTAAGCCAATCGCACCAAGCGGTACCATTTTGATATTCACTTCTGCACCGCCAATTTTACGGCACATTAACGAACCTACGCCAATGCCGACAGAAAAAAATGTAAGCAATAAACTAACAACATTTTCATTGGCATGTAGGTTTTGCTGTGTTAACTGCGGGATTTGTGTGAGATAAGTTGCACCATAAAACCAGTACCAAGAATTGCCTAAAAGTACGATAAAAATTAACGGTAAACTTTTAGCATAGCGGATGGTTTGGAAACTGGTACGAAAGAAATTCCAATCGATCTCTAAGTCTTCATTTGAAGTAGATTGTTTAAGGACAAAACGACTGGATAAATAACCCACTACTGCAATAGATACGATGGTTAAGCAAATCCAGATCATATTGCCTTGTGACAGCGAAATGACTGCGCCGCCTAAAATCATCCCAATTAGAATCGCAATGGATGTGCCTGACTGAAACAGGGCATTACCAGACATCAGTTCATTGGGTTTTAAAATTTCAGGCAAAATCGCATATTTGATTGGCCCAAAAAAAGTACTATGCGTGCCCATTAAAAATAAGGCGAAGAGTAAAATCCAAAGATTACCCAATAAAAAACCTGCTGAGGCGATCAGCATGATGATGATTTCTAAAATTTTAATACTTCGGACTAAAAATGAGCGTTCGTATTTATCTGCAATTTGACCTGCGGTCGCAGAGAAGATGAAATAGGGTAGAATAAACAGTAACGCAGCGAGATTGTTGAGTGTACTGATATTGGCAGACTGATGATGAATCCAACCATAGGTAATGACGAGTAATAATGATTGTTTATAAACATTATCATTCAGGGCGCCAAAAAACTGGGTAAGGAACATCGGTAAAAAACGTCTTGTCCCTAAAATATGCTCATTTTTTTCCATTGTAGACGACTTCATTTAGTTATATATAAGAAATGTGTTGAAATGGTAACTATCTCTCAAAATCATGTATCATGTTTTTAACTTAAATCATGTGTAAAACCAATTGGTTTGGGTATTTGAAAGATTTTTAATAATTGATCTTTCTACAAATAAATTTAGGTCATTCGAGCTTGGTATGCCAGCAAAAATTAATTTTAAAAAATCTGTGCTTTCACATAGTGTACATTTACACTTTGACCGTTATCATATCAATAAACTGATATGTTCAAGTGTTTTTTTAAGTGTTTTTGCGATCCCTGTCAGTTATGCCGATCAAATACAAAGCAATCAGAACTTGCCATCAAGCTCTGAAACCATCAGTACAAGTTCTGAAAAAATCAGCAATACTCAAGAACAATTAGAATCAGCGGCCATTCAACAAGGCGTATCCAACGAAAAGATCGACCAGTTAGATCAGAAAATTCAACAAGCTCAACAAACTGATCAAATAGATAGCGTTAAAATGCTTGAACAACAAGAAAAAAATATGGGGGTGCAAGATGATTTTAAGCCGATCCAATTTGAAGATCTTGAAGAGTTACCTGCTGTTGCTGTGGATCAGTCTTTAGCAAATGAAATTTATAAAGTTGCAGAAGATGCAAAAACGGATGCACAGAATTTTCGTAATGGGGTGACCAAAGCACCTCAAGTTGAAGTGACTAATGCGACCCAGCAAGAATTGAATGAAATTACGCAAGCGCCAGTCAATGTCGATCAGCTTATACAAACTATTCGTGCGGACAATAAAATTTCTGTAGAGGAAAATCAATCGGGTAAAACCTTGGTTGATAATACACAGAGCAATACTGATGAAGAAAAAGCTAAACCTGGTTTCTTTAAAAGTTTAGTCAATAAAATCCGTGGACCGCAAGACAACGGTGTACCAATTCCAAAAATCGGTGTTTCCGTAACAGGTGCGCCTACGGTTCTTGCAACTAACTTAAAAGCAAAATTAGGAACCTTTACCCAAGAAGCATATTCTGATTTTAATGGCTCGGTGCCACAGTTAAGAACATTGGCGGTACAGGCTGCCCAAGCAGTAGGTTATTACAATGCAGAATTCAAGTTTACTAAAATTGATGATACTCATTTAGGGGTTAAAGTTACTCCACATGATCCAGTCAAAGTGGCTGAACAAAATATTGAGTTTACAGGGGCAGGCTCTAAACTGGCACAGTTCCAAGTTATTGGCGTACTTCCTGATTTAGAAGAAGGTGATATTCTCAATCATGGTGCTTATGAATCTACCAAAAACCGAATTGTGGATGCAGCATCGAATAATGGATTTTTTGATGGTTATTGGCGTTTACATGATGTCAAAGTTGAACAACCACAAAACAAAGCCAAAATTGATTTAAAATACGAAACGGGCGATCGTTATAAACTCGAAGATGTAGAGTTCAGAATGAGTGATCCTTCTAAGCCGCTCCCAATCGATTTAAAAATCTTAAAAACCTTAGCGCCGTGGGAAGATGGTGCGGATTACACTGCATGGCGTGTTAATGGTTTGGCCAATAACTTAACCAACTCACGTTATTTTAACTATACCTTGGTTGATGCGATTAAACCGGATGCAATTGTAAAACCACTTGAGCTTCCTGCTGATCTGCAAGCCTTAGTAGATCAGCAAAAAATCACTGAAACAACATTGTCTGCGCAAACCAATGCCGATAAAGCACATTTGTCAGATAAAGAAGTGACTCAAAATGTGGTCAATGAAAATCAGTTTGCGGGAACGCAAGGTGAAGAGGTCAATCCGAACTTAAAGCAGCTTCAAGCGCAGCAGAAAGAAAAAGAATCTGATGATGATCTATTAAAAGATCAGGCACGTGAGAATAAAAAGATTCCTGTGATTGTGACTTTAAATGCGGATCGCTTAAACAGTTTAGAGACAGGTATTGGTTATGGGACCGATACAGGGGTACGTTTACGTAGCCAATATAGACGTGCGATTGTTAACCATTTAGGGCATTCTTTTGATGCCAATATGGAATTGTCACAAATTCGTCAAGCGATTGATGCTCGCTATAACATTCCTTATAAACATCCATTAAATGATTACTTCAGTTTGGTTGCGGGTTATGAACGAGAAACCCGTGATGGTATTGGTAATGACATGGATTTGGTTATTGAGTCTGCGGTAGCCGGGGTAGACCGTATTATTAAAGGTTCAAGAAAAGAGTGGCAGCATATTCTTGGTGTGCGTTACCGCTTAGACCGTGTTACTCAAAATGGTCCTGTAGATATTGCCAATATTCCTGATGCTTTTTTAATTCCTGGTTCAAATCAAGAACAGCAGTCATTGTTGTTGGGTTATGAAGCAACCAAAACAACCAGTGATAATCGGATCAATCCAACACGCGGATATAAGCAAAGTTATAAAATTCAACTTGGCAGTAAATCTTTACTTTCAGATACGGATATGGCGATCACCAGTGCAGATTGGAAAGGCTTATATTCATTTGGTCAAAATGATAATCATCAGGTGGTTGGTGGTTTGAATGTCGGCTATATTTTTGCCAAAGATTTTGAACAAGTTCCTTATAATTTAAGATATTTTGCTGGTGGGGATCAGAGTTTGCGAGGCTTCGATTATAAGAGTCTATCCCCAACGGAATATGGCTATAAAGTCGGTGGTCAAGGTTTGGCTGTCGGTTCATTGGAATACAATTACCAATTTAAAGAGGGTTGGCGTGGCGCAATATTCAGTGACTTTGGTAATGCTTACGATAAATCATTTAGTAACGATACCCAATATAGCTTAGGCTTAGGAATCCGTTGGAAGTCACCAATTGGTCCGATTCGAATTGATGTTGCATCAGGTGTTTCAGATCCTGCTCGCCCAATTCGACTGCACTTCTTTATTGGTTCACAACTTTAATTAACTAAAAATATAAGAGAATTACTGGAAATATTATGGCTGATGAAGAACATCAAGATGTTCAAAATGAACAGCAAAATGATCAACTAAAGCAAGAGCAGACACCGAAGAAGCGCAATATATTGCGTAATATTCTGATGTCATTGCTTTTGGTCATTATTTTATTGATTGCTGCATTGGCTGTGATGTTTAGTACCGATAAAGGCAGTAAGTTTTTATTGGATCGGGTTGCTTCAAGCCAGAAAATTATTGATTACCAATATGAAAGCGGTAACTTGCTTCAAGGGATCATACTTAAAAATGTTTTGGTCACTCTCGCTGCGGTTGATGTCAAAATTGATCGTGCCGATGTTTCCTTGGGTTGGCGCGCAATATTAGATAAAGAAATTCATCTGAGCCATGCTGATGTTAACAATTTAAGAATTATCAGCAAAACACCACCAAGCGATGAACCCTTTAAGTTTAGCGAAATCAAGTTACCCTTTGTTTTACGTTTAGATGAAGCGAATGTAGATCATATGCAGTTTCAAACTGCCTCTACAAAAATTGATTTTAACGATATTCATTTAGAAAATGCATTGTGGTCGGGTACAGAGCTGAAGT